GGAGTATTATGGTTGTAAAATCTAATAGCAGTAGAATGTCATGGCGGCAGAACATCATGGTAGCAGAATGTAGTGGCAGTAGAATGTTACAGTAGCAGAATGTCATGGTGGTAGAATATAGTGGCAGTAGAATGTTACTGTAGTAGAATGTCATGGCTGTAGAATGTCATGGCAGTAGAAATGTCCCAGAAGCGGAATGCTGTGGCAATGGAATATTATAGTGGTAGAAGTCTTGGCAGCAGAATGTCATGGCAATAGAAAATCACAATGGCAGACTGCTGTGGCAGCAGAGTGTCATGGCAAATCACATGAAGCAAATAAATTCCTTCACTACAATCTACTATCCACATTGACTTATGTGCCCCAAGTCGTCCATTAGCAGATAGAGCTGGTGCATTGATTTTAACGGCCCTCTTTTTGAGCTGAGACTGCAGATCTCACAGAGTCAGGGTATGTTATGAGCTTGGACACCCTTGAGTGAAAAATGTATTTACTGATGCTCTTCATTCAGGGAAAATAAACATGTCCCCCAAATGAACTTGGCAGGCTGAGCCCTGCATTGTGCTAACTCAGCAGCACACTAAAGAAAGGGGACCTCCCAGAGGGGACCGAAGATCAGCACATACCAAGGCAGAGCTCCCAAGTATGCTTTGTTCCCCACTGGGAGCATCTGCTTTTTTGCCCTTCCTTTGCTCCTCTGGCCCATAGTGCGATAAGGACAAAGTCAGGCTCTAAAGCGCCATGATTCCAAGTTATGTCTGTTCAGAAGCCACTGGAATAATTGACAAAACACCACCAGCCATTTAATGCTAGGATGGTAACTCCTAACATTTGTCCCGTGCTTTCCAAGCCTCTTTTTTCCTATTTGATCAAATAGTCCTGATGTGAGGAAGGTGAGGTATTATTCCCATTTAACAGAAAGAAGGAATCAGTCAATAGTCAAGCTATTTACTAAGTTCTTGCCATGTGACAGTCACCGTGCTAAGTAAGATAAAGAATCATAAGATCATAGAGCAGGAACGGACATTTGAGACTATCTAGTTCGACCTCATCATTTTACACTGGAGGAAACTGAGGCCCAGAGAAGGAAATTATCATTGGACCATGGATCTAGAGCTACAAAGGTCCTCAGAAGCCAATGAGTCCGACCTCCTCATTTTACAGATGAGGAAACTGAAGCCCAGAGGTCGAATGACTTGCCTAGGGTCACGTGGCCAAATAGCATCTGAAGCAGGCAGGCTTTGAACCTAGGTGTTCCTGACCCCGAGTCCACAGTTCTATCTACTACCTGGCATGGCTTCTCCTACTGCAGTCTACCACTCAACAGAACACAAGCTTCTTGAGAACAGAGACTGTATCATTTTTGTCTTGGCATCCCAGAACCCAGCAAAGTGCTTTGCACATAAGTCAATTGATAAGTGTAGGTTGGATTGATTAGGAATTAGAGTCATGAAGACTGGAATCAGTCAGTAGTAGAATGGAAATCTCCTGGACCCTTCCTTCTTCTCTAGAGATTAAATGATAGTTTCTTTTGCAAAGATTAGCTGAGGAAAGTGAAGAGAACAGTGAGGGGGCTGCAGAAAGTAAAATCATATGAAGGAGAAAACGCAATTAAATCTGTGCCAAGGACATTGACTTCTTCCCAGAGCTTGTCTTAGTATTTTTCACATATCTGGCACACAGTCAGTTGGGGCATCCTAATGGACGCGACATTTAGTCACACGGCAATGTAGAAAACCAACCAACCAAACGTGAAGAACTCATCTTAGACTCAGCCCTGTTATCAGACCCACCCCGGCTCTTTGTCCTGACCATCACCAGCTCCAATCCCAATCTCATCACTGATCTGGGTCTCACTCTTGGCCCTAACCATTCTTCTATCACCCCTCCTCCCTAAAAATCACAGAAATGAGGATTTTATTGGTAACCTAGTCCAAGGTCCTTTTGTTACAAATGTGGAAACTCAGGACTAAAGAGATAAAATGAAGCAATCAATTGATAAGTGTTTTTTTAAGTCCCTACTATGTGCCAGCCATTGTGTGGAAGTGATGTTGGCATGTCACTTGATGAGAGTTCTTATGAAAAAGAAATGGGAAGTTTGGTTGACTACTTGTTCAATATGAGTCAAAAGTAGGATGTGGCAGCCAAAATACCTGAGAGTATCCTAAACTTAGAGGTTGCTAGGTGGCCCAGTGGAAAGAGCGCTAGTGGTAGTCAGGATGACCCGAGTTCAAATCTGCTCTCAGACACTTAGTAACTATGTGACCCTGGGCAAGTCACTTAACCTTGTTTGCCTCAGTTTCCTTGTCTGTAAAATGAGCTGGAGAAGGAAATGGCAAAGCACTTCAGTATCTCTACCAAGAAAACCCCAAAATGGGGTCACTAAGGGCAGATACAACTAAAACAACTGAACAAAGACAAATCCTAAGCTTCAATGATGATAATTACAGTGATGATGATGATAATCATAGTGATAATGATGATGAAAATGACAGCAGCTGACATTACCTAGCATTTAAACACTATAAAGTACTTTAGATACATTATCTCATTTAATACTATAGTAATAATAATAATGATAGTGTGCATTTATAAATTGCTTTAAAGTTTGCAAAGCACTTTGCACATATTATCTCATTTGATCCTCACAAAAACCCTAGGAGTTAGATACCATTATTACACCCATTTTATGGTTAAGGAAACTGAGGCTAAGAGAGGTTAAGGGACTTGCCCAGGGTCACGCAGCTAGTAAGTGTTTAAGGTAGGATTTGAACTTGTGTCAGGCATTCTATGCCCTGTGCCACCAAGATATTCTACAGATAATAACACAGGTATTATTACATGTATATTACAAATGAGAGAATAAGGCTTAGAAGGTTGAATGACTTGCCCCAGGTCACATAGTGAGTATTAGGAGAGGCGAGACTTGAACTCAGGTCTTCTGGTTCCCAATCCATTGTTCTTTTTACTAAACCATACTTTCTTTTTCTTTTTTCCTTTTCTTTTCTTAACCATACTTTCAATAAGAGAGACACAATGTTTAGAGCAACAAGGTTAATTACTGATGCTTCACCATGGCCAGATCACATCCAGACAATTCGTTCAGTTTTGAGTGCCAACTTTTAAGAATGCCATTGATAAACCCAAGTACATCTTGAGGAAGGTAAATGAGATGGTTAGAGGGCTGGGGAACATGACAAAGGGAGACTGAATTCCTTGAAGGAATAATTGGGAAAAGAGAAGACTTGAGAACATGTGAGCAGACTTCGAATGTGTGAAAGCAGGTCACGGGAAGAAGAATTAGCTTGGGTCTATCTGACCTCAGATGCATCGCTAGGAGCAGTGGGTGGGGATTGCAGAGGGTCCTATTTTGGCAGAATGGGCTGCTGTGGGGGGTGGGGCAGGCTGGGCTCTCTTTCATTGCACGTCACCAATCAGAAGCTAGAAAGACAATCAATCAGTATCAGTGGATAAACACTTATTAAGTGACCACTTGTGGAGAATGTTTTACAAGGGACCTCACTTCTGGCATGGGTCAGATGGTCTTTGAGGCACCTTTCAACCCTATAAATTAGTAACTGACCTAAGGTCACACAGCTAATTAGTGGCTCAAACCATAGCAAAGGCAATGGCAGCAGGGAGGAGGGATTTTTGTCGTCCCTTCTGATCACCTCTAAGTTATCTTAGGATCCTATTCATTTACAAGCTTCCCGACCTTGGGTGAGTCAGTCCCTTCACCGGCAAAATGAGGAAGCTAGACTCAGTGGTCACTAAGGTCCTTTCTGGTTCTGCTTCTCTGATGCTACGACTCTACTTTATTTTCAGTCCCGGAATAGTTTTGTCTAAAAGCAGGGGGATGCCATAGATGACTTCTCAAGGTTCTTTCTGGCCCTCAAATTTAAAGCTCCAACAGGAAAAGATTAACCTGCTTCTATCCCACCCCCCATTCAAAATCTCTCCTAAAGCACTGATTTGGCTACTGAGAGAGAACACAACCATCTATACTATGGCTGAGAAAGCCCCTTTACCATGCTAATTGCCACCCACTGAAATTTTGGCTTCAATCTCTGTGGGAGAAAATGAGAGACAAATTCTTGGTGTAGAGAGTGTCCCTAAAGTCTTAGTACTGAAGGCTAAAAAGGCACTCAGACTTTTGGGATACCTTGTACATTCACGGCCTCCCTCATCCCCTTTGTGAGTTAAAGTCTCCAAGCTGGGACAGTAGAGTGGCCCCTGGGCAAGGGATAGAGGCTGCACGGCATATTAGACAGCACACTCCACTGGGAATAAAAAATCATATTATTGTCCTGGCCATCAGCTATCTATGGGGCATTTCAGCTCTCTGAGC